TTATTTATTGAGATGACGGTTCAATATATATTTTTGGCCTGGGATTGGCCTTGAAACACCATTTTTCTGAGCTGTGCACCCACAGAGCTAGGATTACAGTTATGTACAACTGTACCTGGCTCTGAATTGTTTTTAAAATTTTCTTCATCGTTATTATAAAGGTGATAGGCAGAGGGGTTATAGGTCCATAAGTCGGGTAAAGAATGCATCTCTTTTTGGACAATGTCACCCTTTCCCTCACTTTTCTCCCAGTTTTACCCTCTCATCCCTACCCACAAGTTGCATAGTTCATTTCCAATGTAATTCCTAGTGATGACCACTGCTGCGTTTGTTCACCCTTTGTCCCTCTATTTCTGTACCCTCCCTTCCCCTCTCAAAGACAGATCGGTGAACAAACTAGATAAAAAGAAAACGAAAACAGCAATGAAGGTAAAAAGTAAAATACCTCATTTCCATTTCCTGAAGTTCATTTCCATACGTATTCTTTCATATGAGCAGATGCACCTAGACATCATGCCTTTGTGATCCTCTCCCAAATCTATTTGTGTTTCAAACTTGTAAACATCACCTTGATCTGTGCACAGAAATGTAGCTACCATGAATCTGTGTCCATGTGAGGAGAGTCCATGTCTCACAGAGAAGCAAGAGTCTACCAGTCTTTGAAGAAAACGTTCTGAATGCGAACCTCATCATTTTCTATTTTCCTAATGTGGCCTTTGGGTATAGGAGAAAGATGATCCTTGCTCCAACTTCTTTTCCTCCAGAGCTTTGTGACATCCAGGTGAGACCTCGTGCTGTCCCCCGGCCTCTTGGATGGGAGCCTGGAGTATGAGCACAGTGGTCTCTCAGGTGTGATTTCTGGCTGCACCTTGAAGCCTCTTCATGATGTAATGGCTGAAGGGACTTCTACAAAGCGTTGTGCGTTGTTGTACCTATGACTTCATCCTTTGCAGCTCATTCTTGTCCTGTGCAGACCCGGTTCTGAGACGAACACACAGGGCTGTGATCCCACCTACCCTGCCATTTATTCCATTGCTTTGGATGGCTTGTGCTGCTCTTGGCCGGGGCCCCGCATAAACAAAGCCATTGGATAAAGTGGCTTGAATCATGTAACGAAATCCTTGTACCTTTTTGGAGACTTTGTAGAGAGAAATGATTTATTTTTGCCCTACCAAATAAAACATTCTAGGAACCCAAGGTGAAAATTGGATTTTAACTGCTAATAACATTTTGAGCATATAAAAATCAGCAAGTGTTGAGTGTTTTCGCTTGATTAAGGGAAGAACCTAGAATCCAGTAGAGGAGTGATGTGCATCTGATGTGATGCTAGATGATTTATAAAACGGGAAGTGCACGTGAAGCTGGCTTTGGCAGCCACATTGTAACAGTGGGGGCTTCAGAGGTTTTACTATTTCTAGTCTTACATTGGAATCATTGTCCGTCCTCCTCCTTCTGTCATTCATGCTTTGGGTTTAGGCTTTTTTTGCTTAAGCTCAAGGATGTTAGCTGGAGTCAGGTAAGCTTGTTTTAAGTTGGTTCTTTGCCTTCTCTCTTGCTGCCACCTCTCTGTCTCTCTCTCAGGTGTGTGGCTGTAGGTGTGTTTCTATGTCTCTCCCTGTCTACCTCTTCAACATGTTATTTTCTCCATTGTGTTCTTGTTACAACTTAGACTACTTCCTTGTGTCCCTAAGGCATGTCCAGGCCTGGGAGGTGGCTTTCCCACCTAGCAGGTGGTACCCACATTTAGCTGAGACAGGGCGGTGATAGCTGGCTCACAGAGTCACTTGGGCACTGTTTCTCCAGCTGGGTTGTTCTGTAGGACAGCCCTTGTCTCAAGGAAAGCAGGCTGGATCACATCTCTGCATATTTGAGGGAGCGGCTGAACACATTTCAGGCAGCGTGGTGACCGTGGCCTGATTCACTTTCTCTGGAACTCTTATCCGTGTCTTACCCAGAATGGTATCTTTTCAGGTTCATCTAGAGGATTTTACCTAACTCCAAATGTCTTCCAACACTTTTTATTTTGAGAGAGGTGCCAGGACTGGGTTTAAGCTCGGTGCTTGGGTGCTGTCCCTTAGGTTTTTCACTCAAGGCTGGCACTTAGCCACTTGAGCCACAGTTCTACTTCCAGCTTTCGCTGGTTAATTGGAGATAAAAGTCTCACAGACTTTCCTTCCAGGACTGGCTTTGAACTATGATCCTCAGATCTCAGTCACTTGGGTAGCTAGGATTATAGATGGGAGCCACAGGTCCCCAGTTTCCATACTGAGTTTGTTTTTCCAGGGACATTCATTAACTTTTTTGTGTGGAGTCTGGTACTTTTGAGTGCTTGTCTTAGAGAGCTCTTACAGTTCATCTGCCTCTGCTTCCTGGGGAATGTGACAGTAGGGATGTCACATGAGCCATCTGAAGCAAATCGCTTTTATCTAGAATTAAAAGCATCAATCAATAAATGATAATGGTGATGATGGCTCAGGCCTTCTATGTGTCAAGCAGAGTGTTCATCATTGACATGCATTTTGTCCTCACTTTTCCAATGATGAGAAAGATGCTGGTCTGCATTCTATGCTTTTGGTAAGAACATCATCTAATTCATGTCTCATGTCTTTAGGCTTCTCTTACTTCTCAGTCACTTTTTGTGTGTGTCATGGGTCAGTCATGGGTCTTGAATTTAGGGCCTGGGTGCTGTCCCTGAGTAATAGTAGTAGTAGTAGTAGTTGTTGTCGTCGTCGTCCTCCTCCTTCTGCTTCTCCTCCTCCTCCTTCTTCTTCTCCTCCTCCTCCTCCTTCTTCTTCTTCCCCTTCTCTTCTTCTTTTCTTTCTTCTTCTCCTCCTCCTCCTCTTCTTCCTCCTCCCTCCTTCTCCTCTCCTTCTCCTCTTCCTCCTCTCCCCCTACTTGCTAGTGCTATACCTGAGTCACAACCCCATTTCTGGCTTTTTTTGGTAGTTACTTAGAGACATGTGTCACTTTTGGTCACTTTTTTTGGGGCGGGGGGTCCAGTCATGGGGCCTGAACTCGGCCTGGGTGCTGTCCCTCAGCTCTTCAGCTCAAGGCTAGCACTCTACCACTTGAACCACAATGCCACTTCCGGGTTTTTTTTTATGTGGTGCTGAGGAATCGAACCCAGGGCTTCAGGCATGCAAGGCAAGCGCTCTACCACTGAGCCAACTTCCCAGCCCCACTTTTGGTCACTTTTAAAGGCGCAATAGTGTACTGCTTTTGGAAGGCACAGCCTCCTGTCACCTTACAAAATCTTAGAAACCTAAGGGCTCCAGAGGGATGCTCTGAAGCCCCGTGAGCTGGGGAGGGTCTCCCGGGGTGATTTTGCTTTATGATGTGGCCACATAGGGACTTAGAGCCTCAGTGAGAGCATGGAGGCCTGCCACAGAAAGGATAATGGATGGGGGGCCTGCCAGGGGCCCCTTGTCTCCTGTCACTGCCCTGGCCAGAGCTTCCTGGTACTATGTTGTTCCCAGCTAGGGAAGGCAGGCTCACTTCCCTTCGGTGTTCATGTTGCAATTATTTGCTTGAGTGAACTGCAACTCGTCTGTTCCTCCATTCCTTCGGTGTTTGTTCCTTGGTTGTTTTCTTCATTCATTCATTCAATCATTCAGCCTTTGTGGAGCATTCACAATCATTCCTAGGATAAGTTACATCTGCATTTAGCAACAAAGCCTATCAGAGTCGATGGAACTGTGCACAACCAGCTGTGCTGTAGAGGGAGAGATCAGTGATGCTGAGAGACAGGAGGCTTAGATGAAAAGATTTGGGGGATGAGAAAAGGCAGGGGCAACAGGGAAAGGACACAGCTTCTGAAAAGACATGGCTCCTTTGGATGGATAATGCAGAGGTCTGTGGCATGCCTGAAGGATAATGTGTGCAGGGGTTACAAAGTGGCCTCAGGCAGGGGTGGAAAGGTTTTTCTCTCATGCTTGGGGAATGTGTCCTTTGCAGACAAAGTCACTGGAGGGCTGCATGAGTAATTATGATCAGATTTATCTTTGAAAAGTTGACTCTGGAAACCACTTGGAAAATTGTGTAGGGGTTGATGTAGAGCAGATCAGAGGGGCTCCTTCAATACTGTGTATTTACATGTGAGATGTAGGCTTGAACCTGTCCAGTTGGGGTGTACGGCAATCGGGCAGGCTTCCCTGACCAACTGGTGTTTGGATTGGTTCACACAACAGGATCGGCTTTTCTAGGCTTTTTCTTTCTCCATTCTCTCTCAAAGTCCTGCCTCTCAGCCTCAACTGGCCTCCTGTGTTTGGTTAGGAGTCTTCTCATATCTCTGAGCCTGCTGTGAGGTTCAGTCTGGTCTTGCTTAAAGCTGCCTGCACCTCCCTAGGTCAGATTGCTTGGGTTCTGGAGCCTTCGTCTCTATCAGGAGGATCTGCCTAATTTCTTGCACTGTTCTCTCACTGTCCCTGCTCAGGCCTTGGCTTATGGGAAGTCCAGTATCCTCTTGCAGGTCAGAGCTGTGTCACATTCTTTTGTTTTATACACATGCCACCACACCCTTCTAGCACAACTCCCCAATGATCTACAAGAGAGACTTAGTTTTCACCAACATTTTGAAAGTTTATATAGAGGACTGGCGATAGAGCTAAGTGTGTGTGAAACCCTCTGTTTGATCTCTAGCAACTCTGCCCCCTCCAAAAAAGTTTGTATTGATCTTTTGAATGATAAAGTCATTACTAAGAAAAACAAAAAAGATCCCGGAAACTTCATTTTTACAAAGAGCTCTGAGCAGTGACAGATTTCTGCGAGACTTTAAAAAATGTGAAGGAGCTCTTCTTTGGAAATGTGCCCATTCATTTTAATGTTGCATAGATTCTGTCTTGGTATTTAGTTTCAAGATTTTATAGGCTTTTTTTCTTCTTCTCTAATTGTGTTGATAATAAGGGAACTGTTTTACAACATGGTTGTGAGGCACAGCAGCTTGCCAGAGCTGAGCATCTATCACTCAATTAACATTCATATTTCACATCTAATCATTTCAGTGTGGCAAAGCTCTTCCTGGCCTTTCAAAGCAAGAGGACTGCTGTGGAACTGTGGGTACCTCCTGGGGCTTTAACAAATGCCAGAAATGCCCCAAGAAGCCATGTAAGTAATGTTTCATTCTTTCTTTGTAGATCAATGGAGCATGTCTGTTTTCTTATGTCTACTCTTCTAATGATGTACCACATGAGACCTTCAAAGAACTCTCTTCTTATATTCAAGAACGTGATTCTATGTAGTATGTACTTCCAGAAACCTCACAAGGCTGTTAGTTCTGTTTTTTTTTTAAATTAATCATAGTGATTAATTTTCTTCTCTAATTGGATTAGTTAGGAAGGAAAAGGTCTTTTAAGGAGATAAGCTAAAACAGACTTCTTCCCTTTAGGGGAAGAGAAAAATCTTAGCTATCTTTTAAAAAGAGAAATGAATATTTTAAGCCCTATACAAAAGATCCAGCAGTTCGACTCCTGGGCATTTATCCAAAAAATTACAAGTCAGGATACAGTAAAACCACCAGCACAACCATGTTTATTGCTGCACTATTCACCAAAACCAAGGAATGGAATCAGCCCAATGCCCCCCAGTGAACAAATGGATCAAGAAAATGTGATCTCTATCTCTATCTCTATTTATATCTATATCTATAAATATCTATCTATCTACACAAGCACACACAATGGAATTCTACCTATCTATTAGAAAGAATGGTATTGTACCATTTATAAAGAAATGGAAAGACCTGGAAAAACTTACATTACATGAAGTAAGTCAGACTCAGAGAAACAAAACGTGCATATTTTCCCTTATAAGTGGAAGCTAGATTTAGCTTATAAATTTATAAATAAGTACGTTGGTTGGTATGCAAGTGTATACAATGTATTAACTGAAATACAGTGGATTCAAGGGAGAACACAAATTGTGTAATTCCTTAGAAAGGCAAAGTCAAAGTTCATCAAGGTAAAACATCAGGAAACACATACTCAAAAGGGGTGGGACAGAGTGGGGTGGGGTAAAGGGTAAAGGGGTAGACAAATGAAGAGAAGAGAGGGAGAATGTAGTCAAGAAGATTGGAGGGCAGGGATGGTAAGGGAAAACAAAGGAGGAGGCAACAATGCTTGCGCAATCCTTGCTCATGTAATTGTAACTTCTCTGTACGATATTTTCACAATAAAAAAACTTAATAATAAAAAAAGAATCCAATGTATATCCCACATAATTAAGAAGATGAGGGAAGGGGTGATTGAGAGAAGGATGGATGGCAATTTTGAAAGGAGTGATATTGATTATGGTATATTCAAAAACTGCTTTGTTAAATGGCAACTCCTTTGTACAATAAAGATAATTTTAAAAAGTCAATGCAGGCTGGGAAGGTGGCTCAGTGGTAGAGCACTTGCCTTGCATGCCTGAGGCCCTGGGTTCGATTCCTCAGCACCACATAAGCAAAAAGAAA